TTCCACTTCTGGACCAAGTCCAGAGTAAATCGAACTAACTCATCTTTTGGACCACTGTGTGAGGGAGGCCCTGTGGGAAATTACACAAGATAACTCCTTTCAGTAACTCTTGGCTAAAACTTTTGGTTAGGCACTTGCCAAAGAATTGAGTTCACTGTGCAGGTAACAACGTAAAGAGAGAGAGTTTGCTATTTTAAACCAATACAGAAGCAGGGTCGGCAGCGGATTTGGGTGAAATTATACATTAACAGTAGCTCTTGACTGCTTTTGTCATGCATCTGACAGCTCAACTACCATGCGCAGAGCTATTTATAACTACTTTGAATGACTGCCCTTGTTTCATACATCAACACCACACAAACGGAGAAGCCAAACAAACGGGCATGGAGCACTTGTGTGGGTTTTTATTTCTCTGCAGAGCTACTGCTATGTTGCTGGAACAGTGCTCGACAGAACCCAGATCCCCACTCGGAGATTAGTCCTGCTCTTCCCCTTTCATTCTCCAAATGGAACGTTTTTTGAGTGCTTTTTCTACATTGGAGTCTGCAGCTTTCACAAGAGCTCTTGTCCATTATATAAACCTTAAGGCCCACAAGTTGAGAAAAGCATTCTAGGTGATGACCCAGATCTTCAAGTGGGAGCTTTATTAGGGCAGCAAGTACAAATTCAGACCAAAGAAAGAAGTCATACAGTTTTAGGTTACAGCAGGACAAAGTCAGTTTACCCTCAAAGACCCGGCAGTTCTTTTCAAAAGGGCAAAAGCATTTCTAAAAAGAAGTCAAGCAGTTACAGTAGAAGCCAAGGTAGAGGAAAAGCATTGCTGAATTTAGACAGGCGCAGAAACCACGCAGGGTAAAGCCAGCACCCGCTCCCTTGGCAGATACCAATCCTGTGGGCAAACACAGTTCTATGCACTCAGGCACACAGGAGCCTTGCTGCCCACCTTGTGCAAGAAAAACTCAGAAAAGTGATTTATGAACACAGAAAAGCTACAGAGGAAGAAAAGTCCACGGTGGGGAGGAAGCTATTTTTCCATCAAAGGCCATGTTAAAGATGTGGCTGTGTGGATAGAGTGATTTCTCAAGAGTAGTTGTTCACTACATGATAAAATAGTTCCTAAGAGCTGGACCAAAAAAAAAAAAAAAAAAAAAATTCCTGGAAAGGAAAATCCATTACCCCCTCCAACTACAGGGCCAGGCAACCTAACTATCCTCTTCCTGGTTTGCCCCCCTCTGCCAACTTCCAGTGAGTACCCAGTTTACACAGAACATGTTTTATAAAATAGCTCTGCCTTGTGGGGGTGGAAAATGAGTTATGGGTTTATTTATAAGTATAAAATTAATCTAAACCCCACAATCTCTGCATTTAAATGCAGACCAGCCTCATTGTCCATGTTAGAGGAACCACATGGCTTTACAAATCACACAATGTGATTTGTTGCCTTTAGGACAACTTTTTATACCTTATTTTCTCTTGCACATTGTTATCTAGAATAATATTTTCTTGCTACTGTTATATAAGGGAACACCCAAGCTCCTGCCTTGCAAGTACTCTGCGGACAAAAATAAATACCTGCTCAGTATTTTTGGCATGCACATTCCTGAAATATACCCATAAGCAAAAGTGGCAATTGAGTGTGGGGTTTGAGTAATCTTTTCCCATAAATAGTGTTGTTTTGTCACCATGCTAGAACACTCAGTGTGCAGGTATTGTGCTATACCATGCCAGGATAGTGGGATACATATGTTGTGATTAAAATGAACAAAAGAAAAAAAAAAGAAAAAGAAAAGAAAAATAAAGTTTACTGCTTCTCCATACATTAGAATTTCTAGTAGAAGCAGTTGTAATAAAATAAAACCCACACTCAGCAATAACGTGGCATTCACTGCTACTGGTCTTTCCTGCATTTTAAGCACAGTTCCAAACCAAGCACGGCATTTCTCCAGACCAGTAGTGGCACACGTGCCATGTTGCTATTTGCTGAGCATTAACCAGCTAACAGTGAACACTGTGCACAGAGAGGATTGAGTTCTTTACTCCTTGCTAGGGAAAGGAGGTCACACAGGGAAGCAAACAGTTTCAGTAGAATACTTTTCTATCTACTTTCTTAATACTTCTATCTACTTTTCTTAAAGCAAGGTAACACCTGCTCTTAAAGATGTGCTTTCTGCTAGTTCTTTCCACCTTCCTACACTGGCCCTTTTAATTTTCCTCTCACCTGGTGTTCATGCAGTGAGGGGGATCAACCATGCTCTGAAAAAACAGAGCACTTAAGTGACCCACACATCTGCAGCTTGTTCAACCAACTGCACTGTCACCTAGCAGCAATGCTGAGCCTGAGTCCAACCAGAGCCTGATCCACCACTGCAGCGCTCCTGAAAAGACCGCTCTAGTACCATGGCCTCTCTGTAACAGAGAAAAAGAAACCAGGGCCACATGCTTCCTTCCTTTGCAAGGAGATCATTTGCACATTATTTGGGAATACATCAGCGAAACACCCTGGCTCAGCTGTCACCTCCAGAGCCATACACAAACACTCCATACAGCAAGGGGCTTAACGGGATGGAGGACAGCAGCTCTAGCATGATGCTTGCGTTGGCAAAGCAGCTGCCAGAAATCCCTGAAGAGGTTAAGTTGGGCTTCTTGTGCTAACTGCTGCTCACTTCACCTTTCCTTCCACCAGGGTAAAGGACCGTGACCAAGTGGCACAGTGTTGTCCATATTGCTAACAAAATTTATGTTAGGGGAGACTCTTCCAAGCAGCATTTTAGCAGCTCTCCTGTATATCAGGTCTTTTTCTTTAAAGAAACAGACATTTGGAAGAAAGTCATACATAAGTCAAAGCGCTGTATAGGCAAAGGAAAAGGGGTATAGTGTTTAATTCACCTTAAGTTACAGCTGTTATTGCTCTTTTGAGCTTGCTTGATACATTTGCTTTATTATTTTTAAATCAATGTCACAAGCACAGGAAGCAAAATGCTCTAAGTTTCTACATATTAGAGTAGACTCTGTTCCCAGTCTGCTGTATTTATCTCATGTTTCAAAAAACAAAGAAAGCAAAGAAAAGCAAGCAAGCAAAGGAGAGCAGGATGGATTCCAGTATCATTGTGATCTGCAACTGATACTGCAACACAGAATAGCCTGTCATGACTGAGAACAGGTTATTGGAAATTTTCCATCTGATAATCCAAGAGGAAAAAAATATGTTTTTTCCTGAGGTCAACAGAATTTCAGCTTCTCAAAGAATGACCCCTACACACCATATATTTCATAAGAAGGTCTGTAGCTTACAGTGAGCGGTAAGCAACAGTTGGAGACAAAAATATTAAGGAGTTCAAGATATCTTACAAGAGCACACTAACTTTACAGCTTATAAGAACATGGCTTTTGTGGCCACAACTCCTCCCTTCTCATAACTGCAGTGATTTCAAGTTATCTGTTAAATTAAGGCAAGCTTCTATCAGTGTTAGATCAAGCTTCTAGGGAATCTGTCAGAACACAGGAATCAACCCTGAGTTTTCAGGGTCTTAAAAATGTACCTGGGTGCAACCCAAATGAACAAGAACACATTTATGGTTTCAGGCCCTTTCTCTGAGGCACAACTAAACCTCTGCAAACCTACAACTGTCTTTGGACATGTCCCTGCAACCAACTGCCACATTTGTGGGTGCAGAGAGTTTGCACAGGACAGCCCTATTTGTGCTTTGATCACGAAGGTCAAAACCAGCTCCCACTTTCATCACTAGCCGAGTCGCAATCAAACGTGATTAATACTGAACTGAAGTTAACGTCCCACCTCGATAGGGCTGCAACACGATTACATAAACCTGCTGTAGCATCGAATGTTCACAGCTCCACTGCCCAAACTAGGGTATATTTTTAATACTAGTGCTATCACACAGAATTCCTGCCCTAGTCACACAGTGCCACTGTCCAAACCTTCCCCTTTCTTTACTGTTTATTGAATGAAGACTTTTCTTATCTTCCTCAACAAGACCAAAGGAGTAAAGGCTGATGGCAACACACAATCTATGAAAATATTTAGTCTTGAAATTAATGGGGATTACAAACTACTTTTTTTCTTTTCGTTTGACTAATTTGTATCCAGCACTGTAGACAGGAAGGTACAAACTGTATCTGTGTGAGAGTAAAAAATATATACAACTATATTTAACATTTAAATTACTTTAAACACAACACTTTGCATACTAACAATCTTATATACATTTTTAAACAATACCTCTTTAATATTTTTTTAAACAAGTTTTATTTTCCTCCCAAAATACCCAATGCTACTTTAAAATTCTGGAGAGGTAAAAACTTCAGCTATATAGAAAATAGCAAGACGTCTTACAATTGTAATGTATCATAGCACATACTTTTTGTAAAAATAGCACATCATTCAAAAATTGAACCACTGTAAAAGTTCTCACAAGTCCAACAGGACCGTCTTTATAAGATAACTTTGGTTAACAGCAAGTCATTCTTAAACAATTAAGGAAAAAAATATATTCTTTTACCACCTCTACAGATGCATCTCCTTGGCCTGTTGTAGCAATCCATGTATCTTTATGGATGAGCACTGCAGTGCTGTTCAGTGCACTTTATTTGTAGGATGATTTCAATAAAATGGAAAACTTAATACAACCTGATTTGTAATCCAAGTCTTCTCTGGATATCAGAGAAAGAAAAATACTACCACTTCTTCCTTACAAGGCTGAATCTCCTGCAGTACTTGCTGTATAAAACCAATGATTCCCTCCTTGCCTTTCCTGGTCAGGAGAGCACCACAACTTCTGCTGTGCTTTATGTATTCTGACACCCAGCCAACCTGAGCAGGCAGACAAATGAAGTGCCACTGGACTTGATTGTAATGCATTGATTTCTTCTGAATAGTTAGGCAGATTTCAGATCAGATTGGGCCTCTACACCACTGTGATTTGACTCATTCCCAGGGGAACAATTGCCTCCCACTTTTGGGCAGGAAGAACCTAATCTTTATCTTTTCTTCTCTCCTAGCACTATAAAACCCTCTCTGATCCATCAGAAATCACAAAGAAAATGGAAAGACGTAAAATTCTCCAGGAAAAGAATATCACATTAGTCACTAGGCATTGGTTAAGCTGAAAAGCAGATAAGCCTGACTGATGAACAAAGGCACTTGTTACAAGTCTGTGAACAATAGTCAGTGAGTCAACAACTTAAGTCTTGTGATCCAGCTGACCAACAGCGAGGGCTCTGCAGAGGAAGATTTTGTGGATGACGCAACAGAAGTTTTTTTAGAGCCTTCCTCTTGAAAAGGAATTGTTGCACTGTTGTGGAGGTCTGTATTCATAAAACATCTGCTGCCTCGAATATAATCTGTTCCTCTCACCAAATGCTTTTCAGACACTGGCCTCGGAAAGGGATGCTGTGCTAAGGGGCTTTCTTCAATGATTGGGGGTATTCTTTCATTACTGAAGTACCTACACAGGACATCTTCACCTGTGGGAAGAAGAAAAAAAGAATTACTGTTGGCTTCAAGGAAATCCATTGTTTCATTAATATTTTTATGTTCTTATATTGCCCTTCAGCATTTCTAATAGCACTTCTCAGACTCTAGCTACCTTTTGTAACATTGGACACAGGCAGTTGTCAATAAACTTGCAGCTTTTTTTTCCTTTTTATAAGTAAGAACAAAACACATTCATACAGAAGATGACATCTGACAGCTGAATTTCAGATTCATACACACCAGAACTGCTAGTACAGATGACTTGCATACAAGTTATTATCATGAGTCACAACTAATAGGCCTCCTTATTGCATGCTTCATTCAAGCTGCTGATAGACAAGAGTTGGTCCGCACATGACTCATTATTACCTTAAAAGCTACAATATTACCTTGGATGACAGATATCAATTTTGCAAATAAAGATGTGAGTACTTTCCTGTTTTTTGATCACTGATTGGCTATGCTTGCTCTGCTTCCTTTTTTCATGATGAATATTAAACACAGAAGAGAGAAGGAAAAGGGAAA